GGCCGGACGAGGAGACAGGAACATCGGCTCTGGCTCCAAAGAGAAACTCATAACCTTTGGTGAGCCTGGCACGGCAGGGATCGTAGGAGCAGCTCGCGCGGCCCTGGACATCTCGATGGTCCCCAGGTACTCGGAGGCATCCGCCTCCCTTAAAGCCTCACTGCTGGAGGAGGAGTTAAACTACGAAGAGGTAAGTCTAGGGCGGACGGGACTTCAGCAAGTGGGCTCTGGCGCAGTATCAGTCCGACAAGTGGGCTCTGTTCAAGATCAGTTGCCACAATTGGATCCCCACCTTCAGCAATGGCTTCTCCAACAAGAATCGCGCTCGGCTTGTGCATCTGATCCTCACTAAGATCCCTTTTGAATTTGGAGAAATGGTGTTTGACCACATCAGTCTTGCCAGACACCCTGCGTCTAAGTTTCTCCTGCCATACCCGAGTCTGATCTACAAGCCGATTCAGTGTCAAGGACCCATTCCAGTTGATCCCGGTGTTCGGATGGATCCTGTGTTGACATTTCGTGCTCCGACTGTGGTCAGTGTGAAGAATGAGGCAAAGCAGGACGACGTGGAGGATGCTCCAGACCCGACATACTCTCTTGTGCATATAGTTGCTGATCGACGTGTGCTGACACGGGTAGTGATTATCATCAATCGACTTCAGTGAGGTAAGTTTTTCTCTGATCTCTCCTCTGTGGCTCATTCGACTAATGTTTTTAAACTTAGTTCTGCTCTTAAGCAGGGGGGATTTGCAGGAAACTATGGGGGAGCAAGGTTAATGGGGGAGCTGTCTGTTTTTCTCAGGATTAAATAGTTTTTAGGTTTTTTTTCCTTTTGAATGTTTTTGCTGAGCGCACTGAACTTTAGCTTTTAAAGTCGCTCTTTGATTCTCGGGTCTGTAACTTAATAACCTTAACATTGTGTGCTCGTTTAAATCGTAGAAAATCCTTTGCTCTCTTGCGTGTGTTTGGTTATGCTGTGTTTTGTGCTGACTATGCAGGTTGCTCTCGTGGGAATGCTTAAGTATCAAACAAAGTCAAAAAGGGGGAGATTAAAGATGTGAGATCAGCGAACAACTAAGGTGGGACATCAGGAGACAGGAAGGCGTGGAAGCTTGTAGCTGACGTGGACCTGATAACTTGGCGATACAAGAGATAGATTTATATCTACCTTGGAGAGCACTTGAGGATATTCGATAAATGGAAATCTTACCTTACGAGAGATTTGAGGAAGGTTCTATGTTTAGACTTAAGGTAGTATATATAGGGAAGTCGGACAAAGTTTATGAGACACACTTTGCGCCGCAATTGTTCTAGGATACCTTGAGCTTCAAAAGCAAACACGAAGTTAGAAGCTTAGTGTCCTCTTCTCTGATACACGGTCTGTGTGATCTAGTGAAGAGTAGGTTTTATTATTTGGAATCGTTTGGGGGCTTTCTATGTTAGAGTTGCGAAATTCCAAAACAATTGTAATCGGTTGATTAGATTGTCGATTCATATATTAAAAGCTAAGCGTTGGACTTGGCGCTTTCCAAGTTATTGATTGAGTGTGCTTGTTTTCTACACTTACAGGGTGATCAATAGGATTTCTATCGGTTTAGAAGGTGACCGATAGGGTGACCGATAGGGTAACCGGAATACGTCTGTTATACTTCTATCAGTCACTTCTTTGACTGATAGCTTGATCGATAGCTCCTCTATCGGTTACTGCTTGACCGATAGCCTTCGTGCCTTGACCGATAGGGCTTGCGGAAATCGTCTGCCTTGGTTCCTCTTGGTCCATCCAAGCTCAGCAAGCCTCCTGGTTCATTCCCAAAGCTCCTTCTTGCTCCGCATAGCTCTATAAGCACCTAAAAACATCCTTTATGCAAAGAAAATGCAAAGTACATTCTAAATGCAACCTAAGTCTAAAAGAAGAAGAAACTAGGACTAAAGAGAAAGAAAACATGCAAAAGAAGACCAAAAATGAACTAAATACAAGTCTAAATGATGCAAATATATAAGATATCAAAACACTTTGTAGAGAGAGAATCGGAATAATTTCCTCAAACCTGAAGAAGTGCTCATGTAATTGAGACCATGTAAAACATGTTCCTGGAACGAAAATGTACAAAACTCAAATCAATTTCCTTCATTCTTCATCAATAAGAAGTAAAATGAAGAAACCCGCTTTCATTAAGAGTTCCAATACTAAAAAGATCGAAATGTGGCCTTAAACACAGACTATACAGAGCTTCACCGAGTGTGACATCCTGGCCTAGGCCCAGGAAAATTGTGCTGCAAGGCCCATTATCGGAGTAAAAAGCCCACCAGCCAAGGCCCAATTCGAAAACTAACCTAGGTCTCCTCCCTCTCCCAGTAAAAATAGAGTTGCCTCCCTTCAGTTTTCTGCACAATATATTCTTTAGCGAAGCTCTGCCATGTTTCCGCCGGAATCTCTCACCGGAGCTGCCGCCGCCACCGGAGTTGTTGCTGGAGAAGGCGCCACCGTCGCTGGAGTTGTTGCCGGATCGCCGCCGCCGTTGCCGGAAAATTCATCGTAGCCGCCGTCTACTGTCACCGTAAAAGTCGCCAGAGCTCCGCCACTGCCGAAAAAGTCGCCAAAAAATCACCAGTCACCGGAAACATTCTCCTTCGTGCCCTCTTCTCGAATATGTGGTTGTTTCTCTTGTTAGACGCCTTGGTGAGCAGATCTGAGCCTTTTTCGTTTTCAGATCTAGAACTACTTTTTCAGATATAGATCTACTTTTTCCAGATCTGAATCCATCTTTTTCTAATATTCCTTTCTGTTTGTTTTGGAGTCGGACCCATGCCATCGTAATGCCTAGATCCGTTCGGCAAGGATCCATATTGACCAGTTCTCCTTCCATTTCCGTTTCCGCTTCCGATCGGAGACTAAGGTGAGGACTGGCATGATCTATCTCTCTCAGATTCAGAGTTGTTTCATATTGAGTAGTCTTTTGTTAATCTGCGCATACCTGCGCTGTATCCATATGAATACACGTATTTGATTGTTGATTGAACCTGATTAGTAGCGCTTTATAACACTATAGTAATTGTTATTGTCCTGCGGTTGCCGATTGATGAACTTAGTAACATAGGTTGTTAAACGGAATACTGTTGAATGATTTATGAATAGTGTTTGCGGGTGTTTGCATTACATGGGGAAAATCACTTGCGGGTTGGGATTAGATGTGGGAACCTCTTTTGATATGTATGTTTTGGATATCGAGGCGTGTGGGACTCCATAGTCCATCGTTGGCCGCTTGACGAGCACTGCGTCTTGAGGACGGAAAGCGTGTGGGCCGCTATATGCCACGGGGTATGCACCGGTGAAGGCGTGGATGCACCAGTTAGGTCTAGGGATGTCATTTCTTGATCTATGAGTGTCTTCGGACGTGTTTGCTTGTGTGTATTAGCTTAGGGCTTTCGTTTGGAATGAATATGCATGTGCGAGATGTATATCGTGAGTCCCTAGGACCTGCCATCACTGAGGATTGTTGTAATACTCATCCTTCTTTCCTCTGCAGGTGAGCGCGTAGATGTTCAGGAGTAGTCTTGTGGCTTGGTGATGATTTTAGGAAGATGCGGGTTTTATTTTGTTATTCGTTATTTATTTTAAAGACGTTATTTAAATTCGGATTTATTGGTTAAGTTAAAGTGGTCTTTGTAAGACATTTTGAAAAAGATCCTTGGGAATAAAACTGGCATTGAACTATCAAGTCGTTTCTTGTGGTGAAAGTTAATGCACTTTAACATGCCGTCTTGGTTTGAAAGAGGCGGGTGTTACAATACCCAGCGAAGAAATGAATTTGGATCAATACGAAACTAAAACCACAAATGCTAGCCTCCGCCGCTCCTGGCCTTGTCTGATTGTGTTGACCACAAACACTTGCAAAAATCGCTGATTCTGTTATCTAAACATGCCGATGAACTCAAAGAACGGTAACCGGAAAGGAATCGCTAGAGAGACGGGGAAAATTACCAGAGAAAGTGATGTCGTTCACGGTAGAGGATCGAAGCCTCTGTCGAATCCAGGTGAGCTTCGAAGACCAAAGGCGTTGCCGAAATTATTCTCCAACAGTCAAACCATCTCCGGACTAGTGGATCCTATTCTGCTGATGAAACTGCTACTCAACGTGACGGTTGAAGGGAGTTTAGGTGATTTACAGATTGTTATCTCGCCGGAATCCACTGTGAACGATTTAATCGACGCCGAGATTCATCTCTATGTGAAAGAAGCTCGCCGTCCTTTGTTACCAGAATTTGAACTGTCACGATTCGATCTCCATTACTCATAAGGGGGTGTATTCAACTTAACATTTAGAAAGAATTTGAGTTTTAATGAGTTTTTAGATGATTTGTTTGAATTATGGAAATTGTTATGATTTGATATCAAAATTCTACCAAACTCTACCTAAAATCATGAGATTTGGATTATTATATTTTTAACTAGGAAATTCCATCAAAACATCTTACAATCATTCCAAGTTTTTTTAAACTCTGTACTTAAATTATTTCCAATAAAAGTGAATTTGAAGAGACATTTTCAAATCACTAGTTCAATAACACTGAATTTTAAATAATAATTTAAAATTTATGTTTCAATAACAGAGGATTTGTGATTTTAATACAAATCACTCTAAATACTATTTTGAATACATCTTCTTAGTCTCGAAAGTATAAAACAATATTTTTCTCTTAAAAAAGTTGTTGCGGCCGAGATTTTGATTCTGATTTTTTTTTGAAAATAGAATATTTGAATTCCCATTTAGGTATGGGAAGATCTCATTTCGGTATACATATTTTATAAATTAACTAATTTTACTTAATTTTTTTAGTTTAATATATTTTTATTAATCTAATAGATTTTGCTGTTAGAGCAATAAAATAATTTACATAAAGTCTAAAATTCATTTTTTAAAATATTTTTAATGAAATCTAAAAAAAAGGTAAAATGTAATGGTATTTTATGTAATATAATACGTGTATTATGTTTAAACATCGAAATGAATCTGAATTAATAGTATGGATTTGATAAAGTTTGCTTGAGTATAAAAAATCTCTTCGAAAACTCAGTAACACACATCCACCTAAATTTACTTTGACCTCACAATGTTAAAATTCGTACAGACACAACAACCGATCGTATTATCAGAATTTAAAAGTAAAATAACTTTCAAGGGAATCACTTTGAAAGTAAAGGATTTATACACACAGCAAAAAACAGAGAGACATCTAGGCGTGTTACTAGTTTTTTCTCAGCCTAAAAACTAGAGATGCAACAAGTTTGATATGAAGTTCCAACCCATCATCCATGTCTTATTATCTGCAGGTGAAGCAAAGTTGAGCTCAAACATTTCTTTCCTTATGTTCTCTCTCGAGTCAAAGAATCCGACAAGCTTAGCCACTATCTCTGCACTCTCTCTCACGTGCTGCGTGTTGTGAGGATCTGTCCATAGTTTGTTGATCAACTGTTGCCTCCTCTGTTTCCCCACAGGCGGTACGTCCCATTTCAGGTACAGCATCTCTCTTTCCTCGGCTCCTAGCTTCGTGTTCACTCGTTTCGCCAAATACTCTCTCTCCTGCTTCAAAGCTCTTACACTGCCATCAAAAACATATTGATTCTCCAATCGATTGACTCAGTTCATGAAAAAAAGGAAGATATGGGTTCAATTTCACTTACCTTGATGCTACGTAGCTTGCTGGTTCATCGCCAAGCAATGCTGGACTCGCGTTTCCGAGCTCGGCAAGATGCTGTTCGAGCCATGTCAGCCTGCGGAGCTCGACCTCCATGTAGATTTGATCAGCTGGGTCTCCTTTGAATAACATGTAGAATTGTGTCCTGTGAATGATTGAGATGTGGCAAAGATGCCATAACATTATGATTTGCTTTCTCTGTTCTTCAAAACACAAGGGCCAATCCATTTGAGATTCATCGGTTGCATCTGACTCCGAAGCAGCAGCAGCTGTCTCATTTGCCTCCATTTCTAACACCTGGGGACAATAACATGATAAAAGCTTACGAGTTACTTGTTTGATATAAGCAGAACTAGAACATGAATGAGGACAAGTCACAAGTTTTCAAACTGACTTGGCAAACAAGAAGCTGCTTCTGATATTGAAGCTTCGCCACACGTTCTTTCAATCCAGTAACATAGTCTTTGATGCTACGTATGTTCTCTTCAGCAGCATTCTTAAACATACGCTTCATTCTCCTAATATCGACTGAATTCGCTTGTCGTGATACAGAGGTTCCTTCTTTTGACGGGGTTCGAATGCGGTTATCATCTCTCTTTGGTGGACTGCGGTTATCATCTCTCTTTGGTGGAGTAGCTCCAATACACACCGGGGCTGAATTAGAAGACACGACATTGCCCTCAGGAGGAGCCTTGTTTTCAGTCCCAGAAGATGAAAGAGGTGAACATGGTGCCCGGATCATATGCTGTATGTTAGGACTATTACTTAAGCCGAAGGGAAGAACTCTCTTCTTTTTCATCTGTGTACTGAATTCTGGAGTCTGTTCATCTGTCTGATAAGAAGAGACAAGCGTGTCGATAGTTTTCTGAACAGTCTCAAGCTTCTTCTCCAGAGCTGGGATTTCCTGAGAGTTCAACCGGGTTATTTCTTCCTTCGGGTTAGCTTTGTCACCAACTACAATCTCCTCGGTTAAAAGGTTGCTCTTCTGCATGTCACAGATCTCTGACAGCATTTTTGCGACTTTTTCTGCGGTTTGTTGATCACCGAGTTTGTGAGATGTCACTTCTTTGTGAATAAGCTCTAGCGCTTGGTTTGCTTCCTCACCCAGCTTCTTTTGGTGCTTTTCAAGCAAACGGATTGCTTGGACTAGCGCTGTTGGATCCGCTGAAGTTAGAGACTGCCTCATATTATGCTTTCTCTTAACACGAGTTGTTCTGCGGCTTTTTGGAATAGATTTGCTCGGAGTTGAATCCTCCTGAGTACGGTAGGAGAGACACCTTGCTACTTGAGAAAAAGATTCACACTCACTTGACCCCTGAAAGCAAATTATATAACTTTATACGAATAAAGTTTTCACAGAAAATTTTGGTGGCATCTCATATTCCCGCACATACCTTCAGCTCCTTTCCTTTCCTTTCTAGAACGAGCTGAGTTTGCGCAATGTCTCTCTCACGCTTTAGCTCTTTCATCACCGATTCCATCTGCAATTAGATTAACGTGAATGAACAATAGCAAGTGGTCGTCTCTAAATTTCATGTTTTTTTATGTCAGTAAAAAACCATTTCACGTCCCTTATGGTTTTCTTTTTCGTCAGTGGAATCCACATCTTAAATGTCCAGAAGAGATAATTAAAGATGAGAATCATAATTATGTAAGTATGGTTCTCTACCTGTTGGATTTTTATCTCTTTCTCAATTAACAGCGACTTTAAGCAGGTAGATGAACTCTCTGGGCTTCTTAACTCTGATTCGAGTTTGGCAACTTTTTGCTGCAGCTGTTTCAGCAGTTGTTTATCTGAGACGACCTACAACAAATAATAAGCTAAAATCAAAACCTAGAACCAGCAGAAACGTGCGTTTTCTATCAAGAACCAGCATATCATCAAATACTTTACAAGTTTGAATCCCAATGAGTGAAGTTAACAGACATACCAGGTTTACTTTAGTGCAGTTTGTGACCTCCTTCGCACTCATGGCAAAAGAAAGCGTCTTTTTTGTTTGCTCAACGTGGCTTAAAGCTGGACTAATGGTACATATTATTGCTGTTCTCGCATTCCCGCCAAGTGAATTTTGCAGAATCCTTGTTAGCTTTGAGTCTCTATATGGTACGTGGTCACTACTTCTTTCAGAACTAAATCCAAAATAAGAAATGCAAAGGTGAAAATGTTCATCAAGCAACAAGATAATTTAGATATGCCCAAAGACAATAATGTTCTGTGCTTTCTTACCTCAGTTTTCTGATCACTGTCGTAAGTGTCAATAAACTACGGTTAATATGGCTCCCTTCCTTCAATCTTAGACCATCAGCGTTTGTCTGACAAGCACTTTCGCTTCCAGCAAGATCAACAAGATTCTGCACCAGCTAAAGTGTTTTAGTCTCTTTGATATCAAGTAAAGCTTTAGCTTAAACATGCTAAAATGGCGCACCAGAGTTGCCATGATAGACTGCACGCGGCCTGCTATTTCCCCGAGACTGCTCTGAATGGCCTGAATATCAAAAGCAGGGAATATGAGATAATGTTAGTTTTTAATAGATAACCAAGGTATACAAAACTTTCCATGTTAATACTAAAAAAGTAGATTGTCAATTCGATCATGAATCATATCACATCAGCACAATTCATACCAGCCGAATAATCTGATGAGATCTTGAACTTTTGTCGTTCAAAGCAGTTTCACCTACTTGCCTTTGAGCTGAAAAAAAACAAACAAATGGAAAATCGCACAAAGCAAATGAAGATACCATATGCCTGCTTAAGAGAAAATGTGTCATACATTAAATATGCTTTCAATAGAGTTCGAGGCATTGAGCTATTTACTTCATATATCACTAAGTTATGTTTCTCTGCCAAGCGTATGGTTGAAATGCCTAAAAAGACATGAAAAATATCCACACAGTGACACTTGATAGGAAGGATTTACCTTCACAAATGCCAATTAAATGCTGCAAATGTTGCCTGCTTTCAACCACTTCCTCCACCAGATTTTCTACAATGATTCCTTTCTGCAAGACATACAATCTCAATCTGGCCAAGATAATGGATGTCTGTTTCCGCATATAAAATTAGTGTTTCTGACCCTTTACATACCTCTGGATCATCTAACAGTCGAAGGGGCCCAGTGGTACGATTTAAAAGGTCAATGACAGTCTCATTATAGATCTCCAAAGCAGATACTTTCAAGACAAAGCTCCGTTCTTGAGTCTACATATATTTTAATAGGTCTATATCAGCTTGTAACAAGACCAAGACCAAGAGATAGGGTCCTTAAAATTGCCACTCACTTTTCTTATATGCTCGTATATATCTTTAACTACGTTTTCAGTAACCCCTCTCATTGTAAAGGTCTTGCCACTGCTGGTCTGACCATATGCAAAAATAGTTGCTGCAATGAAAAGAGACAAGAATTCACATATCTATGGGCACAAATAAGCTTAGAAACATGAGTCGTTGTTTAGATATCTGCTTAGTTACCGTTAGTTCCAGTTAAGGCAGATAGTGCGACGTCCCTAGGACCGCCTTCATAAACTTCCTGCGTCGCACAGGTTGTCTCAAATACTTTGTCTAGAGTTACATGAAAAGTAAAGGAGCAATGAGATTCTAATCAATAGACTTGTTAACAGAAGTAGCAATGATATTCTAATCAAATAAGCAATAATATTCTAATCAAACACCAAATGCATTGTTAACACAAGAAGCAATGATATTCTAATCAAATACCAAACGCATTGTTAAGAAGCAATGATATCCTAATCAAATACCAAATGAATATTTTGCTGCCGCTCTCTCAGGATTTGGATTCTTGAAAACTATGGTCTGGTCATCAGGACAATCCCAAGCAATGAGATCGTATTTGGCATGTTCCCTCCAATTCAATGGTCGCATCCGAACAGTGACAAGTATCTTCTCCTCTGTAACTCTGGAACCACCTGGTGTAGACGGATTGGCCCTATCTATCTTACTTAACGGCGTCCTAGGTGGTCCCATCATCTTCTACACAGTTAGGAGACTAATTAGCTTTCTTTTGATATGAATATGAACACTCTTTTTTATATGAACACTCTTTTCTTCAATTCATCACCAGATTAAGAAACTTATTAGGCTAGTTTGATATCAACACTCATTTTTCTTTCCATCACCAAAGAATAAGGTTTGGTTTCAGCCAGAATCAGCCAATATTGATTAGCATCAATCTACTATCTTTCGTAATATTCTAGTTTGGTATGAAGACTTTTGTTTCATCTTGAAAATGGTGAGTTCATCACCGAGTCAAGATATTTCTTTGAAAATCAGTAACTGTTAGATCAAATTGGAAAATCGAGAGAAACTAAAATCGAAACCCTACAGATATCATTCTAATTTCTACATGAAAATCTAACATATAGTCTTCACAATTAAAACCAAATTAGGAAACTTATTCGCAGGCCTAGATGTTACAAATCCACAATACGTCGTAACATTCGAGTGTGATATTCTATTTCTTAAAACTGAAGAGTTCATCACCGACCCAAGCTTTTCTATAAAAATTAACTATGAGTAGTAGATCAATTCGAAAATCAAGAGAGACTAAAATGGAAACCCTGTAAATCAACGAGGTTACGCGCAGACGTAAAAATCCAACATAGCGTCACCTGAGATGAAATCCCGAAAAAGGAAAGAAGAAAGAAAGCAATTAAAAGTTAAAAGACGATCGAAAATCCGTAGAATCGCTTACAACGACGGAGAGATTTAACCGGCGATTGCAAATGCGGCGGAGACGAAAGGAGCTAATCTTTGGAGAGTGAAACAAATCGATCGACGATTGGAGATGAAGATGAAGATTAGGGATTTCTCAAAAACCAGAGGAGAGGAAAGAGATATGTAACGGAAACTATTCTCTTGCTGCTTTCTTCTTCTTCTTTTTGCTTTTATATTTGAACTGAATGGTTGAAAAGTTCTATCGGCGTACTTCACCTGCCACGTGTCGACGATGACTCCACCTCGGAGACCTAATATATACGTTTTACGTTGGAAGAAGAATTTCTTTCTTTGAAAAATTGAAAGAAGAATTTTAATTACAATATTTGTATTTGTAAACACAACGCATCTAATATATTATCCCAATCTATTATATATTTTTGTTGTTAAGCATGATTAATTAACATATCTAATAGTTTTACCATTGAAAAAAAATTAGAGTTATTTAAAAACCACATTGAAAAAATTAAAGACTAAAAAAGTAAAATAAATATATTCTCCATTTCAAAATAAATCTCATCTTGATATTTTTCACACAAATTAAAAAATTTAATAAAAAAATCTTTTTTATCACTTATAAATATATTAAACAACTTTTTTTTAATTAATACATTAATGTAAGAAGGTTAAAACTTGATATTTAGTTATAAATTTGTATTAGAAATCAAAAATGACACTCTTTATGAAACAAAAATAAAATTTTAAAACAGGAGGAAGTATTTTTAATTTAAAACACTAAAAATGGTATGTCACTATAATTTGTATGAGTTTTTCTTTATCGGATGATGATTCGGATGAAACCTCAGAATCTGAGTATCCGCATATAGCATCATTGTCGTCACTATCGTATGATAGAACGGATTCGAGGTTATGATTGTCGAGATCGATATCAGGGGCAATACTGGATATAGAGTTAATAAGATACTCCTTCTTCTTCTTTGACTTATTTGGACAATTTTTTGTGAAATATCCTTCCTTACGGCATAGAAAGCATCTCGTCGTCTTTTCGAAGCTTCGTTTCTTTCTGAAGAAACACTTACGTCTGAACTTGTTAAAGCGTCCTCGGAATGGCTTTCTAAATTTTCAAGATTTACCTCGAGTGTCGCATGAACAAGTCTTCTTGGATTTGGAACACTTGATTGAGAGGTCTGGCCTCGCACATATCTTAGACAGTTGCTTTGATTTGTCCATGAATTCCATCCAGAATTCCTTCTGCTTGCAGAGCTTATCGAGTGTCCGGAAGACATATTGTTGGATTTGACCAATAGATATTTCTTCGATTGTCTGTCTTTGGTCCCTGATGTACAACATGGTTTGTTGACTCAGGTAGTCGTCGATGGAGGAAAGGTAGACTTGCTTCAATCTTGGGTTATTGAGACAACAACTACTGGTCAGAAAAAGGAATGAGAAGTCGAAGAACCATGGTCAAAAAGTGTTATCTCGCGTGGGGTCGGGTGACGAGTGTCACCACGACCTGTATTGCACAATCGTCAAGTTAGATGTTAATTAACGAAGTGTTGTCATGTGTACTCTAAAGTTAGACTTTTGGAGCACTCAAACACACAATTAACAACATCCAAACATAGCAATAAGAACCTGTTTCCACAATCTCACAAAACATCATCAAAGAAACTGACAACTGACTCAAAGAAAACATAAAAATGACTCAAGAGAAATAAAAATAAAAGAGAAAAACAAACAAGTAACCAGATAGTAGAGCCTCCGTCCTCATCCTCGCAAGGCTCAGTGGTGTAATGGGGGCGGACACAACCACAGTTGCTAAGTGTAGCAATGTGGTCGTGGAGGACGCCTGAAAGCAGTGGAGGAGGTAGTCTGGCGTGTGGATGGTCCAGCATCATCAGCAACTGCAGTAGAAGCAGAGGCGCCAGCTGTAGCAGCTCTAGCAGGGCGTATAGGTAAACGGTGCAGCAGAGTCCGCTCTGGCATGAAGAATAGCTGGCATGGAACTCCCTGAATCGTAGTGAGGGCTCTATGTGGCAACTTAATGCCAACATACTCTCCAGAAGTAGTAGTAATAGTCCATACAACGCCAATCTTGAGCCAAGTGACATGGCGCATATACTGATCATCCATGAGTGATCTGGAACTGAGTAGACTGCAAGGAGTGACATCGATCTGGAAATGATAGAAGATAGGTGTCAGAAGGCTGCCAACACTCTCGGTCTTCTCCCCTGGACTGGTGAACGGTTTGGTCTTCAAGGAGACCAGATGCTCAGTGAAAACAGCGCCCAAGTTGGCGTGAACCATGCTATCGATAGGGATCACATCATCTAGCATCTCATAGAGTCCGTAGTAGAGGAGAATCAGCTCACTAACCCGTGTCTTGCTAGGAGCAGACTTGCACAAAATGGCATGGCCAAAGAGGCGCAGAATGTACCTCAAGACAGGATGGCGAACCTCTGTCTGCGTGCTAGTCTTGCTGTCATAGACTCCATTCCCGAACTTGGACCAGAATGTCCGCATGTGAGTCCACTGAGAGGGAAGGAGAACGCCTGTGGGGTGGTCAGAGAAGCCATAGATCCCACAAAGCTCCATCAGACTGATCCTGTATCGAACCCCTCGGATCAGAAATGTCATCGTGCCTTCCTGCGCACGTTTTGCCAACTCATTCGCGTAGAAGACGCAAACAGTAGAGAGAAACTGGCGGACCAAATCTGGGTAGAGATCATACTGCTGGAATGGCATAGTGCCCATCTCAATCCTCTCCAGAATCACAACAACCTCCTCGAAGATGCCCATCTTCTGCAGAACAGTAGGATCTGCGAATCGTGAGGGGAAAATCTTCACTCCCAGCCACGCATTGTAGAACAGCGTGTCATATTCATCCCACTCCTCCTGGATATCACGGAATATGCAAGTGTCCCGTGATATTTCTTGTCTCGAAGTCCCTGACCTAGCCACTGTTGAGGCTATTTTCCGATCTTCTCGCGTGGGCCATGGAGGCCTGCAAACCGGGTAGTGACTGAAGGAATCAGTAGAGCCTGATGCAGTGCTAGAAGACGAGCCTTGTCTTGGTCGTTTCTCTTATCTAGGCATCTGAAAATTCAAGTTCAAAATCGACCAAAAACATCACCAAAATTAGCAAATTTTTCAAAATTCAAAAAATCAATCAATCAAGGTGAAAAAACTGATGGCGATCGACTACAACACTACCAGGAATACAATTCAAGCATCAGTTCAACCCAAATCACCCAAAATTTCTAGATTTTTGCAAGTTTCATCATGAACTCGAAAATTAAAAACTTGCAAAACAACCGATAAAAGCTCACATAAATGGTTACATTCCTCTAATACAACCTAACTAACCATGATTCAACAGTTAAATCAAGCTAATCAAATCAAAAATTGGATTTTACCAAACCTATGTCGGACTGAAAATTGGGGATTCCGAACACATACCTTGCAGATCTTAAAAACTGAGTGGATATTCAGAAAGAGGAGCAAAATCCGCATGGATTAGACTTTTGAATCACTCAATTTGGTGCAAGAAATCAAAAGTTGTGAATCTCTAAAATTTTCTAAGTGTTCGTTATTTAACAGGTTTGGGCGAGGAAGAAGAAAAAAAGAGTATAAATCGTACCTGGATCGTGGACGGGTGACGAGCGTCACCCGTCTTTTTGTTGGTCGCGTTTTTTTTTTTTTAATTAAACTCTAAATATTAATCCTAAACACGAAAATAAAAACTAAGTACAACATTTACAACTTACCAGTGGGTTGCCTCCCACTAAGCGCTTGTTTAAAGTCATTAGCTTGACTTTGGTTGGCTGTTTAGACAGCTGGTGCATCATCCAGAGACACAATGTGTCCTGCTGGAATCTCAGCATGTGCCCAGTAATGCTTCACCCTTTGTCCATTGACAGTGAACTCTTTTCCTTTGGAGTTAATCAGGACAATTGCACCATGTGGGCGAGCTTCTTTGACAATGAAATGACCTGGCCATCGAGAGCGCAATTTACCAAGAAAAAGCTGTAAACGAGAGTTGTAAAGTAATACCTGGTCATTGGGCTCGAAATGTCTGGAGATGATCTTCTTATCATGATATGCCTTTGTCCTCTCCTTGTATCACTTGGAGTTTTCATAGGCCAGATATCAGATCTCATCCAGTTCATTGAGCTGAATCAAACGCCTCTCTGCAGCAGGCTTCAGATCGAAGTTCAGCTTCTTGATGGTCCATTCTGCTTTGAACTCCAACTCTACTGGTAGATGGCACGCCTTGCCATAGAGAAGATGAAATTGTGTAGTCCCAAGTGGCGTTTTGTATGCTGTCCTGTAAGCCCCTAATGCATCATCCAGCTTTGCAGACCAATCTTTCCTTGTCTTTCCAACTGTCTTTTCCATAATCTGCTTGATCTGCCTGTTGGAAACCTCAACTTGCCCACTGGTTTGGGTGGTATAGGGCGTGGATACTCTGTGTTGTACACTATACTTCTTTAACAACTTGTCAAAAACCTTATTGACAAAGTGAGAACCACCATCACTTATGACAATCCGCGGGATACCAAATGTGGGAAAAATAATGGTCTTAAACAGCTTCAAAACCACTGCAGCATCATTAGTAGGTGTAGCCAACGCCTCTACCCACTTAGATACATAATCAACAGAACCAAGAATGTATCTATTCCCATATGATGAGGGAAAAAGTCCCATGAAGTCAATACCCCAACAATCAAAAACTTCAACTTCCAGAATGAAGTTCTGTGGCATCTCATGTCTCCTGCTGATTTTTCCTCTTCTCTGACAAGTATCACAGCTTGTAATGAAGGCCTGGGCGTCCCTGAACATAGTAGGCCACCAAAATCCAGCTTGAAAAACCTTGGAGACTGTTTTAAATGTGGCAAAGTGTCCAGCATATTCTGATCCATTACAGTGAAAGAGGACGTCCTGCACTTCTTCTTCTGCTATGCATCTCCTGTAGATCCCATCAACACAATGCTTGTAGAGGTATGGCTCATCCCAATAGAATCTCCTAAGTTATCTCAAGAACTTCTTCTTATTATAGCCCTTGAAGTCATGTGGTTCAACCTCTCAGCAAGGTAGTTTGCAATATCAGCATACCAGGGCCTCTTTGGATCATTCAAAGCATAAGCAGGCTCTTCAAAAGCCATCCCCAAGCTTGCACAAATCGCAGAAAAGTGCAGAGATTGGTGACGAGCGTCACCAATATTGGTGACGAGC